GAAACCCAAGGGCAGGAAGTTGCTTTGCCTGTGGAAGGTCGGATCATTTTGCTAAAGATGACAGATGCCCAGCCCGGGGAAGGAAGTGTAGTAATTGTGGAATGCTGAACCACTTTAGAGCCGTGTGCCGGGGCAAGAGAGGTCAAGAAGTCAAGAAGTCTGGCTCCACGTGTAACAGTGTACAAGGAGAAACAGACCCAGGGACCGATCATTATGTGTTCAGTATGGATGGCCAGGCTCAGAAGAGAACAGGCACCATAGATGTGGAGATTGGAGGTGTAGGTGTAGCAGGCATCCTTATCGACTCCGGAGCTACATGTAACATAATCAGCAAAGGAACCTGGGAGAGTTTGAAGGGGCAGAGAGTAGAGGTCAGAGATCAGAGGAAAGGCGGCAGGAATCTCTATGCCTATGGAAGCAACAAACCTCTACCCACATTGGGGACATTCAAGGCAGAAGTAGTCTGTCTATCAAATGCGGCTGCGACAGAGGCAGAAGTAGTGGTGATGGATGGACCTGGAAGAAATCTGCTGAGTAAGGAAACAGCAGAGAAGCTGGGGGTGCTGCGAGTTGGCCCAGTGCAGACGGGTCAAGTAAACAACCTCCAGGAAGGTCTGACGGCAGAGGAGCGTGAGAAATACAAAGATGCATTCACAGGTGTAGGACTCTTGAAGGAGCGAGAGGTAACCCTACACATTGACGAGACGGTGCGACCAATAGCACAGCCATTGAGACGGGTACCATATGGCTTGAGGGACAAAGTAGACAAGAAGTTGGACGAACTGTTGGAGATGGACATTATAGAAGTTGTCCCGGAGGAACCAACAGGTTGGGTTTCACCGCTGGTAGTAGTACCCAAGCAGGATGGAGACATACGCGTGTGTAGTCGACATGAGACGTGCAAATGAAGCCATAGTGAGAGAACGACAGCCGATCCCGACGGTAGAAGACGTGCTACATGACCTGAATGGCAGTACGGTGTTCTCCAAGCTGGACCTGAAGTGGGGTTTTCACCAGGTGCCACTGAAGGAGGAGAGCCGCCACATCACAACTTTCGTGACACACAGAGGACTCTACCGGTACAAACGTCTGATGTTCGGGATATCATCGGCTCCCGAAAAGTACCAACAGCTGGTCAAAGAAGTTCTCCGTGGGTGTGAGGGAGTAGTAAACATCGCAGATGATGTCATCATCCACGGGAGAGGTAATCGGGAACACGACGAGAGACTGCATCACGCCCTGGATAAGATCCAGCAGGCTGGCTTGACGGTAAACCCTGAGAAGTGCTTGTTCCGGGTACCGAAGTTAACGTTCTTTGGACACGTAGTTACGCCGGACGGGATCAAGCCAAGCGATGAGAAGATAGCAGCAATCCGAGATGCAGAGGCTCCGAAGACGGCTGGGGAAGTGAGGTCGTTCCTAGGACTGGTACATTACGTGGCGAAGTTTGTACCGGACCTGGACACGTTGGTAGAACCATTACAAAAGCTAACACGCAAAGGTGTAGAGTTCAAGTGGAACTCAGAGCAGGAAGAGAGTTTCAAGCGGCTGAAAGAGAAGATCACAAGTACGGAGACGTTGGCGTACTTCGCACCCACAGGAAAGACGCGTATCGTGGCAGACGCCTCACCTGTAGGACTGGGTGCAGTGTTGTTACAGCTTCAAGAGGAGAGGTGGCGAGTGATCGCGTATGCGTCTCGACAGTTGTCGGAAGTTGAACGCAGATACAGCCAGACAGAGAAGGAAGCGTTAGCGCTAGTCTGGGCATGTGAACGATTCCACCTATACACGTTCGGACGCGAGTTCGAGCTAGAGACGGATCATCGTCCACTAGAGCATATCTACACGCGAACGTCGAAGCCGTCCGCGCGGGTAGAGCGATGGGTGCTGAGGCTTCAGGCCTATCCCTTCAAGGTCGTATATCCTCCCGGGAAGACGAATATTGCGGACGCACTATCCAGGCTGAACAACAAGTCGAAGAATGGGGAGAGAGGAGAAGACTACGACTACGTCAGAGCCATCGTTGAGGCAAGCACGCCGGTGAGTCTGACACCGAGAGAAATCGAGCAGGCATCGGCTAAGGACCCAGAGCTGATGCAAGTGAAGACGTGTATCCACAGTGGACAGTGGGAAAACTGTCCAATCCCGTCATACGGTCATGTGAAGACCGAGTTGAGTACGTATGGGCAACTGGTGTTACGAGGGACTCGAATCGTGATACCGCGAGAGCTGCGGAAAACAGTTCTTAAGTTGGCCCACGAGGGACATCAAGGAGTCCAGAAGACGAAGAATCGACTACGAACGAAGGTATGGTGGCCGAAGATGGAAGCAGACGTTGAGCAGATGTGCAAACGCTGTCATGGATGCCAAGTGGTGTCCGAGCAACAACCACCAGAGCCGATGATGAGGACAAAACCACCAGAAGGACCGTGGCAAGATTGCAGCGCGGATCTACTAGGACCGTTACCCACCGGGGAACATATCCTAGTCGTGGTGGATTACTACAGTCGTTACTATGAGATCGCGATCATGAAGACAACGACAAGCAAGAAGGTAATAGAGGCACTAGACCCTATTTTCGCGAGATTCGGAAATCCTTCAACATTGCGTACGGACAATGGTCCACAGTTTGTCAGCACAGAGTTCACAGAATACCTCCGGGAACAAGGCATTGAACACCGGAGAACGACGCCGTTATGGCCGCAAGCTAACGGTGAAGTCGAGAGGCAGAACAGAGCCCTGCTGAAATCCATCAAGATTGCGAGAATCGAGGGGAAGGATTGGAGACAGGAAATCCAGAAATTCCTGAAAGCATACAGATCAACCCCGCAGGTGACGATGGGCGAGACACCGTACAAGCTAATGTTCGGGCGGGAGATGAAGTCAAAGCTACCCGAACTACCGAGAGAGACAACCTTGATGAACGAGGAAATCCGAGACCGGGATTATGGGAGAAAACTAACGGCGAAATAATACGCAGACAAGAAGCGTAAGGCCGTCGAGAACAACCTAGAACCGGGAGATCGTGTTCTGCTGAGACAGGAGAAGAGAGACAAGTTCTCACCGAACTACCAAACGAGTCCATGTCGAGTAATACACAAGAACGGAGGAGAAGTTACGGTGCAGGATCCAGAAGGGAAAATCATCAAACGAAACGCATCGTTCGTTAAGAAATACGCAGAGCCCGAAATCAACGATTCTGAGGGAAACACCAACGCCGGAGAAGACACAGGACAACCAGAGAGAATGCCAGAGACTGAGAAAATAAGTGCACCGACAACAGGCACTTACGTGACTCGTTCGGGGAGGAACGTGAAACCTCCAGATAGACTGACCCTGTAATAACAGAGCTGAACGGACAATGATTTCAAAAGAAACGGACTGGAAAAGATACTACGAGAATGGACTATATACTGCATGAGTAGACTTGCATGAATTAGAAGGCCCTAAAGTAGCGTAATGCATGAAGTTAACAGATAAAGGTAATGCATGAGTTCTATAGTTGTTGTATAACGCAAGTCTAAGGAAAGGAGGGATGTAGTGATGTGAAACAAGTTAATGATTTAGAGTTAGCCAGTAACCTTGCCCACGCAGTATAACACATTCCAGATGTTGAGTCAGCCCTCCTACCTCACTGTACAGAATAACACCGTAGAATACAGTCATGAAAAGTCTGTCGGTGTAAGAGTCTTATTTGAGTGTTGGAGAGAACACTACAGTATGTATTTTATTTGGTCATTTGGACTTGAATGTATTTGCCTTAGTTTATGAACTAAATGGATTCCATGTACCTAAACTAAATATTTTTCTACTTACGGAAGATAATTTCTGCCCCGGGAGAGAAGTAGGACTCAGGCAGGGAAATAAAATCTCGTAGAAAACCCACGTTTAACTGTTCAGGCGTCACGTCGTCCATGAAGATCTCATATCTAGGTATCACGAAACACAAGATAGTAGCAGGTCATTCACTTTTCAAAGCTAAATAGCCCAATGATCCCTCATTACCTTCGCCAGGAAGGTTATGTTTTCTAGGGCGTTCGTGTATCTTTTTGTGTGTGTGTGTGTGTGTGTGTGTGTGTAAACACGATAACTCATGAATGCTTTGATGGGTTGTCTCGATGTTTGGTAGGTAGCTAGGTCTTGCTAAGACCTAAAAATTACTCGATTTTGAGCCCCCTGGCGGCCTGTCATGGTACTGCAGCATAACTTCTGGTTTTGACATCTTGTGATCTAGACATGCTGGGGTCACGATTTACATGATAGAGAGCTCTTGTACTTGGAATGAAGTGACATGCGTTTGAGCCCCATAGCTGCTCGCTCTGGAACTGCAGAAGCGTTTGTTGAAAAATCTTTAAAGGCGGATAACTCAAGAACCGATTGATGGATCGTCGTGATTTTTGGTATGTAGATAGATTAGGTGGTGCTTGGCATAATGATCTTACAATTATGCTATTATGGCTGTGATTTGCATAATTAATGAGCAAATACTTAAAATCAGCTGCTTTCCATGATAGCTTGTGACATCTGTAGTTAAGAACAAGAGAAACACAGGTAGATATTGATTATGCAAATGAGAACCTAATTTACATAAATAATGAGAAAATGTTATAATTCCATTTCGGTAACTGCCTGGAATTTTATACTTGGAATATGAATGGTAAGTGAAGGTAAACATCATTAAACGTGACTTATTTAAATAAGGAGTTCCATTTGCATAATTTATGAGGAAATACTATAATGGCATTCTTTGTTACAATGCAACGCCTTTTGGTGTAGGATATGATCAACATGGTATGATTAACATGATATGATTGATGGAAATTATTGAGGATCCTACTTACACAATCAGGGGATTAATCTATAATTTCTTAGTAATAAAGGCTAACACCTTCAGTGAAGGTATAAGATCCTGGAACTCTAGTTGGCATTTGGTACTATTATTTTGTACAGGAAAAAAGAAACATATTCAGCAATTTATATTAGGGGATATTTGACCTGTAAAAGAAGAATCATCATTTATTACCTGAATATGTTTATCTCCAGCATGGCCATGAATGTTTGTGTCTGCTTCTCACCAAGACGAGCGCTGGCAGAGGAGCTGGCACTGAAGCCTGATGATTGGCTGGATGTGCCCCTCTGACTTGATCTTCCTCCTCCTGCTGACCAACCAAGTCCAAACGCTCCACCCACTGCTACATGTCCAGAAGCCTTGTTGATCTCTTCCTGGAACATGGCCTTGGCAGAAGTGACGGCCGATTTCTCCGCAAGGTATTTTCTGTATTCTTCCGTTGAGCTGAAGGTGTAGGATTCTACATCTGTGTCGTATATGCCTTGCACGGT